CCTTTTGCAGTGCCAATGATTTGGAGAGAGCCAACAGATCATACCAGCAATTGTTCCTTCTGCATGGTGCCTCCAGTTGGGAAAGGTGTGTCACAGAAGAAAAAGTGGACTGTGCATTATCCAAACATTCCATCAGCTATACACCACGGAGAAGGACTGCCGGTTCCTGATGCACCAGAATCATTCTCACTTTAGTCAGACGAGGAAGAGGAAGAGGATGAAACTTCTGGTCCTGAACCATCAATGTCACAGGACCCACATTTTCTCCCATCCTCCTCCTCTGAACCACATCAGTGGCAGCTTTGTGGTGTTTTGAAGGTTGTTGCTCTCTTGCTTGGTCTGCAGACTGGATACACAAAGTACTGCTGTTTTCTCTGCGAATGGGATAGTTGTGCAAGAGATTCCCACTACATCAAGAAAGATTGGCCACTCCGACAGTCATTGGAGCCTGGGAGGAAAAGTGTTCAGCATCCACCACTTGTTGAATCAAGGAAGATTTTGTTACCACCCTTACACATCAAGCTGGGTCTGATGAAGAACTTTGTCAAGGCCATTGACAAAACACAAGCAGCTTTCAAGTACCTCCGTGGAAAATTTCCAAGGTTAAGTGAAGCTAAACTATGTACATAATAGTTTTTTGCCTTTTGTTTCATAATACATTTTATTTATATAACCCTTTTGCTGATTTTTAAAGTGTTACATAAACAGGACAGGTGAAATATTATCATGTAAAGCAACCATAAACACATGAAAAGACCTAGGTTTACAATTTATGATTAAAACTCTAATATCTACACAATATACATAGACATAAAATGTAAAAACTTAAGTATCTTAGAAACAGTAGCCAATCAGTTGTTTTAATTGTTATATTTGAATTCATCACATCAAAATACATAATAAATAGCACATTTTATCTCTGAAGCAGATGACTTCTCAAAAATTGTAGACCAGTGTTATATTGCCTGTACCCAAACTGGCCCATGAATCAGCTAGTGTGAATGTAGAACACTTTACAGGATGGAATCAGTGCTATTCTTTGGTTCACAATATCTCTAACAGATCAACTAGACACCTACAATTCTGGAACAAGATTACATTTTTGTATAATTGCTGTAGCACTGAAGAAGCGTGAGACTCTGAAACTTTTCTGGGATGTGGGAAAAAATTCTTTGTACAATTTAATTTAATTTTAAATTTATTTATTTTAAATTTATAATCTCAGGTCTCTTAATTCCATGCTTCCTTGGTATGGGCCTTTGCAAGAAGCCTAAGGGAGTTAGGTGCCAAATTCTCATAGCAATCTCATGGGAGTTGGGTCTTCATTGCATACATTACCCCTCTTTGATGATCCCAACCTAAATGTGTAAAGCACCCTGTTGCACCTGCATTTTATCTGAGCATTGCACCTGCATTTTATTCCTCGTTTCAGAAAAGACTGACCAGAAGGCATGAAGCTAAGGGTAACATTTTCAAAAACACTTCAGCAAACTTCAAAAGTGACATAGGAGGCTAAATCCCATTTCCTTTCAATGAGATTTAGATTGCTAAACCTTAGCAACTGAGAAACTTTCAAAAATGGGACTTAGGCTTCTAAATCACTTAGATTCTTTTTAAAATGTTACCTGAACTAATTCAGTGAGCTCATTGGATGGGGACTGGGTATATGTGTGCTTGCTACGGAGGGCAACATTGGAGAAAATGTAAGATGAGCTAACTCTGCTGACATTTTCAAACCTTTCTAAGGGAATTGGCTAGGAACTCAATGTCTAAATCACTGAGGCAGCTGTAAAATCTAGAATTAGTGCGTTATTTCTTGACAATCACCATGGCGTTCACGCAATAAAGAGAGAGATTTGTTTCAGGATCAGAAGTTTCTTTCCTCTGCAGGACTCTCCCTTTGAGAGCAGAAGTTTCACTCTGGCTTAGTTTTAGAAAATGTCAGTAAATACCAACTTCCCCTTGCTGTTGCATTCCCCACAACAGACATGCCACGGGAGACTGCCTCTTCCCGCAGAAGGATATATAATGAATCAGAAAAGACATTCCCCATTTGCCAGAGGGTATGAGGCACACGGTCACAATACCATATTTGGAACGGAGCCTCAGTAGTTTTTCTAAGTTGTCATTCCAGTTACTGGGCACCTGGAAGTAGGTGAATGCAGTGGGGAGAGAAAATGAACTATATAACCTGGATCCTGGTCCTTGAAATGCTGCGTGAGGAGGTGACAACGGAGACTCCAGCTGCTCACAGATCCGGCTTAGAGGTAAATCAACCTTTTCCTCTCTGATCCTTGAACCTTGAGGAGTTTGAAGCAGTGTAGGTCTGTTCGGTAACTAATCCCATGGGAATCTAAGTGGAACTGGGCACTGATCTCTCTCAAACTCCCAACCCAAAGCAAAATGACTGAATTTAGGAATAGGAAAGACCTGTCAAGTCCCATCTATCCTAGTTCTTTAACTGGCTCCATCACCCTGATATCTAAGCACCTCACTGCCTTGAATATATCTATCCTCCCACCACCCCTATGTGATGCAATTCCCCCTGCTTTACAGATAGGACCTGGGGCACAGACGGGTAGATTTATGGAAGATTTTTTGGCACCTCAAGACACAGACTTCCCAGTGGGATTGGAAATTGATGGGCGTTAGGTACGGCCCATACTGAGGCACCCATGTGCGTTGTTAGGTACCTTTGGAAATCTGCCCTGAAAGTCACACAAAGAGCTGGTGATAAAGCAGGGAAATTAACCAACATCTGCCGACTCTTCAAACATGGGAGCCAGCACTTCAAACACGGGAGCAGGCTTCATTCCTCTCTAACCTCCTCTCCTGACCCCTACAGGGTTGTGCCCTCACTGGCAGCTTCTCCCTCACAGGGCACTGAGTGAACTGCCGAGGGGAAAGCAGAGCTGCTTTTGGCTGCTGTGCTCGGTGCTCAGGGGGGGCGGGCATCACTGCCTATAAGTAGACACGGAACAAATTGGTTTTGTTTCTCCCTTTAAAGGGTTAATATTGGCATTATTGTATTGTTAAGATCCCCCCCCCCCATTTAACTATTGATTTTTACAATCACAGGAAGTTCAGCAGAGGTTAAGGTGCGGGTCAGGGCAAGGGCAGTGCTGCCAGCAGGGTGTGGGGGGCTCTCGACCGGCTGAGGGATCCAAGACACAATGGTGCAAGGAGCAGGGAAGGTGGAGCAGAGATCCATGGCCAGGCTGGGAGGAGGCGGAGGATGGCCGGGAGCCTTCGGCCACAGGAGAGGTAATCTCATTGTTGAAATGCTCCGCTGATGGGCAGAAACCATTAGGCAGT